GTGCTCTCGACAAGGAAAATTCAATTTTTCATGTTTCAAAACATCTTCCATGATATTTTCAAAAACGTGGGGGGACTCGAAGTGTTTGAGGAATCTCTGTTCCAAAAAGAGGATGAAGCGATATAAATGTACATTCGGGTGAATTACAGGCCCATTCAACAAAGTATCAGTAAGGTCTGCTTCTGGTAGAACGTATTTATCGTCTGGATACAATAAAGCATTTTTGCATGTGATACATTTGACGGTATTCATAACACGTTGCGTGAGATTTGCTGTCATGTAGTACATGACACAGTTGGATATTTCAGGCTGGGCATAATCATGATCGAAGACATGCTGTAATTCCCATGCGTCGTATTGTACCATTTCATCGAGTTTAGCTTTGAATGATTGGGTCAGAGTTGATTTTTCAGGATGGTTATAGATTGTTTTTAGCTCGGCAAGCGTTATTAAAGATTGATGCGGAGTATTATTAGAAACAGTGCAGTTCCCTTCTTTAGGGGGTGCAAGCACACGATAGATAGATAAAATTTTATAAATTTGTAAAAATGTATGCATTGAAGGGTGATCGTTACTCCCTCCAGCCTGTCGTGCCGATCCAAAAAAATTCTAAGAAATGAGAGGTAGAAAATTAACACAAAAGATCGAGGCTGAGCAAGCATGAAATAAATTCAACTCAAAAGAAAATTTCATAAAAATGTTGCAAAAAAAAAATCATTCAAAAAAGCATGCAGTGAGCTGTAAAAAAATGCATCAAAGCGATAGGAACCACGAAATTTCATAACTGAGAAGTGAAGCTTGAAAAATGATTCTTACAGGTTCTAGAGAAAAATTAGGAAATTTAATAAAAACCTCAAGGGGATCCTGATTCAATCTACCACTGAGAATATGTGCAAAACCAAATTTTGAAGTTAGGTAATCGACGATTCCAATAGTTGAATGCAGTGTGACTCGCAACCCTTGTGCAGTTTGTTTAGTTAAAAAGGCATTTTTTGACAATCTCTTCTTCTCCACATGCTCTTCCCATGTGTCCAATTTTTTTATTGCCTCTTCAATGACCTTCAAAAATCGAGAATTAGAGGATATGTATGAAAACCATTATTGTTGAATATAATTCAACAGAAATAGATTCTTACTTTATAATCTCTGTTTCCTGGTACCAGCCCATCTGCATCCTCTGATCTCCTTTTGATCTACAACGAAGTTCTTTGAGGCCAGTTGCTACAGAATTACTAAAAATTTGTACTGCTAATCTCACTCTCATTTTAGCCGGATTGGTTAACTCAAGATGATTCACAGTCAATTTTGGACATATCAATTTCTGGCTAGGTCCAGCGACCTTCTTGTCGATGTCATGTAATGTACGAAAATGATCCCATCTGATGATTGGTTCATCAGGGTCGACTTGCAAAGTTCCTTCATTGTAGAGTCGATTCCTAATTGTTTTTATTAGATGAGGAGTATCAGAAAAAACAAAAAATTTACGCTCTTTGTCCAATGGATGCTCGATACTACTGCGACACGTTTCTCTCTCCCCTGTAATACCAAATTCGGCCCAAAACTTCCGGTTAGTACTTGCACCATCGGTTATGACTCCATGAATTCTCGCTCCAGCATTCTCTAAATGCACTATGGCTTTGAGGATTAATTGAGCAAGGAGAGCTCCCTTCACTGGACCACGTGAGGCAAATACGGCCACTGGTTGAGTGTAAGTGTCATTGAGAGGTTGAAACATTATGACTAATGCGTGATTAGCTTTTTCATTGAATTTTGCAGCTGATTTTCCATCGATACCGAAATCTACTAGTCCTGTGTAGGTGAGTCTTTGGGTATCAACCCCAACGCTCTCTCGAGTGGACATTTCATCCAAAAGCAGAATCCCATCTCTCTGATGTGCTTCTTTTTTCTCGAGAGTAGTCTTGAATACCTCAAAGAATTTCGAGTCAAATCCACATGACACTTTGATTTTTGAAAGGTATCTGGAATGAAAATAGAAAGAAATGTTTGTGAAGAAAATTAATATTGGCAGAGAGAGGAAATTGATTTCTATAATTGGGAATTACCTCCTGATAGTGCGAACGTGGGGGACTGGAAGTATTTTATTATTATAAATGGTTTCGTATGTTCCTGGCGACCTCATGTGTAGCAACAGGCATAATAGAATCCAGGGTTCTTCATATCTTCTTCCTTTGGAGTTTCGCAATTTGGCGGCCTTCAAGATTTCCCTCAATACTAGTTTTTGATTCTCAGATATATTCCCATTTTCTACATGGCATTGAAGACTAGACTTTTTGAAAAAGCGGAGTTTTCGCTGATAGCTTATCATCATCCTCTCTACTGATATTTTTGCACGTTGCTTTGCTCTTCTTGCAGCACGTAATTTGAGGTTTATGGTTGAGAATTGAGCTCTTTTCTTTGGAGATAGAATAATACGTACTCTCTTAGTTTCACTGGATGTTTTCGACCTTCGGATTGCCATTGTAACTGTTTTTTTTATTCGCTGACAAAACTTGCAGCTTGCTATCTTAGATTCCTGATGAACCCACAAAGAACAGTGTTTATGTCTCCAAGTATCACAAATGTCTTTAAAAACAACGCTACAGTTTACTTGTTCCAATTCATTCTGTAGCAACGATCCTACACATAATTGGAGTCCACCAACTGAATAAATCAATTCTTGCAACTGCTCAATTGACTTAATTGGTTTTAGCTCAAATGGAACATCACCTGGTTTTTATGGTTTCCCCAGAATATTTAATTCAACGTTACTGTCATCTTTAACAATGAGTTCTAGTGATATCACTGACTTCAGGTATCCGTCAACTGAGATTGTCTTGGTGGTAAAAAAATGCAATGTATCTTTGCTACCACAACTCATTTTTACTTGTATCCATCGAGGAGGAATTAGAAATTTGGCTTGGGTTAATTTCTTGAAAGATATCTCCAACTGAGGGACATCAGTTTTCACTGGTCTCGAACTGAGGGACTTCACTGTTTTTACTTGTGTGGTTTGGAGTAGTATTGTTATATGAACTTGTGTCTGGAACTATACCTTCACATGACTTTGTCTCATTTTCACGTTGATCCAGAGGGATTTCGTTGAAAGTGAATTCCATTTGTCCCTGGGAAACATCATCAGGCGATGAGGGAGGAGTTTCAGGAAGATCTGAAGCCTGTGTTAGTATTATAGTTTCCCCACGAACAGTGTACGGTGACTGTAGGAGATGAATCAATATTAATAAAATATCAAAATAACATTGAAAGTAGCACAGGATTATGTACTTACCACCGCCAAAACTTTACCATCAGGTCAAACAAGCTCTCTTGTCCACATAATCTCTTCCGGCAAAAAATGTTTATCACACACACAATTTCCACATTTAATGCTGTCATCATGTCCAAGTTTCAGAGCTTTTTTCCATATTTCCAACTTTCCCGTTGGAATGCGAAAAAAATATCTCTTCTCGAGACTGAGGTTTTGTACCAATTTTGAAACTGATCTCGACTTACATCCATACACTATACACCCTGGCATGATATCTCGATCAATATAAAAATAATAATTCGCATAACCAATCTTGCATACACTCACTTTCGCCCATTAAATTCTGAATCGACTTGAAAAACACAATCTGCGCAAGCGCGAATCACGTGGTTTGTGCACAAGACTAGTGGCGCCGGTGCGGTGGTGGTAACAGTAACGGTGACACGGTTTTTGTTAAGAGAAATAGGTTGAGTGTCCGGGGGCTGATCTCGTATCATAAAATTCTGAGTGAGCCATGATGCTTATGCTTTGATTTGTAAGCCTAAATAGAGTTGAATGAATAGGACCTATTGAGTGCACGTCACCAGAGGTCCAAAGCGTAGTATCTCTTTGTCATTTAGTCACTTCCTCCGAGGAACTGTTTTCCGAGCGAATTAAATAAAAAGTAAAAATATAGTTTCTTTTTCCCTTATTTACTGGTTTGGTTATTTAAAATATCTCATTTCTATATGCTTGGGCCTTATGTTGAAATACACTATTCTCTTCGTTGTTCATACTGAGAGAAATATCGTCATAATATCACAAAACTAATTTCTTGCGCCAAATATCTCATCTTTTGAAGATAAATTTCTTGGGATAAAAATTCCGGATAATGTGTCAGACAATGTCAGATTTCGGTGAAGTGTTCATGACTTGAACATGAACATTTCATGATAAAGTGAGAATGTCTTGCCACAAAAAATCGGTTTTTTCGGTCTTAAAAGCTTTGATTCAATGAAGCATAAATCAGAGACTTTCATATTGAATGAATAGAGAGTTTATGCAGAGGAAAACCTCCAGATATTAAAAAAACAACCGTCGCTTACGCTTAATCGCTTTGAGTTCGAAGGAAAGCAACATATTCTTTTTCTTCTGTCAAACTATTCTTGTCGTTTAAGAAATATTATCTCATTTCGAAAAAAAGACATCATCGCTTCCTTCAGTAACTTTCTTCTTGGCCCGAAGAGCACCGATTTCTTGTCTGAACCCTACGATAAATTCGTCAAATATGGATGCGATGTTTTTAGCTGAAGAAATGATTTTTGTCATATTATGTCGATTTTTCTCGTAGGGCAGCCCGCACATCATTTTTTTTGTTTGGAATTTATCACTGATTACTCCCTCATATTAAAAATCTGAATGACTCCGCTTCAAAATTGAGTATTTCCAAAGCGATGATAACTATATATTGATCATTGATAAGTAACTTAACCAGATGAAAGAAATGGAAAACAAGAACACCGTAGTTTCAACTACGTATTAGTTCGATAATTTTCCATTCATTAGAAATCATCGAATTCTACTAGTATCGAGCGTCCACTACGGTTGGTAACAAAAGGGCCACGTCGGTCAAGCGTTAAAATAAAAAATATGATGAGTGAAAATGTCATCGTTAAGGATTATCCCCTTAACCTGATAAATGAAAGAAACTTGGGAACAGATGTTTTTCGTATTCATGATGTGTGTTTTTCGTTACCTTGAGATAAGCCCAACCAGCTCGAGTCAAGTCCGACGTATACTTGATCGGAAAAGTGGGGGTGAGCGCTTCCAAAATTCTCTGCGCCCAAATTCGCCTCTCTGTTATGCTTTTTGCATAGAACACATGAATGCTCGGCTTTCCCTCGGTGCTCACTGCTATACAGTGCACTGTTTCCCCATCGACAACTCTAGATAAAAGTAACATTTCAACCAGAAATGAAGTATTAGTCTGCAATGATTCATCGTAACCATAAATCCACTTGTTCATCAATTAATTCTACTTCAAGATAATGAAAACGACATTGCCATGATTTACATTCTTTTCCCACACAATGTATTCCCATAATTCTGCCATTTTAACTTTTTTATTTGGAGAATTTGAGGAGGGGGGGATTATTGACTTATTTCCAATATCCCAATTTATGAAATGTAATAGAACAAGTCAATCCTCCATTTTTCATTGAATATGAAATTATCTCGGAAACAATTAATAATTATAGGAGGAAATATTAAACCATAATTTCCGTTAGAAATCTGTTTTTCCACAGTCAATAGCAAGTAGCATTGCATTTTATTTCAAAACGATTTCTTCATATTATTGAAAATAGTTATACACTAGGAATTTTTCGCAGAATAGGATTTGGCATTAAAAAAAATTGTTTCACGCCGTATAGAGTGAATTGTCTACTGGTCGAGTGGAGAAGTGAAATTTTCAGAAGACGAGAGCATTTATTTCACTGAACTAACCATCTTTGCAATAAGAAATTACAGTAATTGGTTCGGTCATTGGACGAGTTCGAAGACTGGGAACTTCATACTAATCGAAGGGTTTACACGGAGAACAATTCCTAGAAACATTCATGTTCCAGCACCATAACGCCGTTGTAAAAATTACCGTGTAGCAGTATAATTTTTCTGGTATTCCCGTGAAATTTTCTTCAACACACGGTAATTTTTCTGGTACTTCAAAATAAAATTTCTGGCGCTGCGCGATGATTTTTTCAAGAACGTAAATTGCACCTCGTTTATAGTGCTGGCACATTAATTTTTCAAGGATTTTTTTCTCGGTGTAGTCATAAATAATTTTTTAATCTTGGTGTTGTCTCAGCCCCCTTCTCAAATCGCAAAATCCTTCTATCACGAACTTTAAAACCCAGTCAAAAAAATGAAAAAACAAAAAAATTAACTACGCAGACCCATTCCCACTTCAATAATTCCCCCTAATTATTTCGATTAAACTCACTTGACATCCTGCAGAAGATGCACACTCTGTATACTATCAAGTGCCAGTGTCTCTTTAACCGTGGTCATCCCTTTATCCACGTAAAAAGTTATTTTCTGATCACTCAAGACAGCAGCTCGCATGACAAGATCTCTAGCTCTCTCCATTCCCACGCCAGGGCGATAAACCATGCCTCTGTGACAAACAGGAATCACCTGATCTTCAATAATTGGTCTCTTCATCTTCTGTCCCTCAACCTCTTTTTTCTTCTCACTATCCCTCCTGACACGTAATAATTTTTTATTCTTCATAAAGTTCATTACATTCGGTTTAACATGAACAGTTAACTTTTGCATCACTGATGATATCTTATCAGTGGGAGATTTGAAAGGAGACTCCGGAAGGCCTGAAGACCCTTGAGAGATTTCAACCTGTGGTTTTCTTGGAGGAACGGCTGGCTGCTTTTTCCTCGCTAAATTTGCCAACTTGGGGAGTAGTGCAGGGTTCTTTGTCACTTTGCCAGATAGCTGGGGCGCCTCCACCATCTCCACCTCATCGTACTCATTCTTAGGCAGAGAATCATACCTTCTGGGCACAGCTGGAGCTGGAAAATATCTTTCCTCGTTCTCATGCTCGTCATATTCATTCTCATGCTCCTGAAGATCTGCTAAACTCCCATCACTACTCGCTGGTTCACTGGTAGATAACAATGCTTCCAGCAGCATCAAATCATTGTTCTCGTAATTTCCATAAGTATTTTCATCACTCTTAGTAAAGGGGTCGAACTCAAAGAGGACAGACTTGCTATTCATCTTGACGTCATCCTCTCTGAAACCCCTTGGAGTCCAGTTTTCGTACAATGAGTTCCTAATGGAGAGAACACGTGTGGCTGGGGCCAGGTGGCTGGGGAGAGGTGTTAGCACTTCAGTTTCTCTTAATTCTTCGGATTCCGTTCGTTCTGCTTGGTGTTTTTCTATTTCTTTCGATTCTACGTTGAGCTCTTTCACTTTTTCCTCTACAATTGTATCGGCTGTACCTTTCGCAGGCGTGGAATGATAAAAAGTCCAAGAGTCTGACCTCGAGAGCCGTTTAACAACATCCGCAGTTGTTTCAGAGAGGTTCAAACTCTGGTCGGAGTCACTTTTACAGTTCTTCGAAATGTTGATTAATCCAAAACCGTCAGACTCCTCACGGAGACGATCAGAGACTGTGGAACTGAGCGTGTTGTATCTGCTGCTTCCACCGGATGTCACTGACTGCAGTTCGTCATATATGGATTCGTCCGGAAGCGGAGGAGGTGGATACACCGGAGGGGGTGGACTGTATCGAGCTTCAGTGAGGTCTTCCTCATTTCTCATGGACTTTAAATTTGAGTGCAAGGGGCTGTAAAACGAAATTGAGCTGAAAATGTCGTCGCACGCTGGCATAGAGACGCATCGGTCTTCGCTCTTATTTTTTAGTTTGCCACCGTCAACAGAGTCTTGATCGTGATTTGATGTCAGTCTGCGTGTTAAGAGGTTCTTCACTGATTTCTCCAGACGAATACTCGCGTTTCGTGTGCTTGAGATCACTGCTCGACCCTTCACTGTCATCTTCTCGGATATTTCTTCTTTCAATTGTCTTGAAGAGTTTCCGAAGTTCTTGAACAGGAATTTCTCGGAGCTGCAGCCGCGGGATTCTGACGAGGATTTTTCATCGCTTTTTTCCGATGTTGTCGATAAAGAGGGACTTATGGAGCGAGGAGGGGGCGGTGGGGGAAAGTGGATTCGCGGAGCTGGCACAGGCTGGCTGTTGAATGATGATCGAGGTTTTGGAATCGGCTTCACGTCCATTGTATTAAATTTTGATGGGTTCGGTGAGTTTATTAGAGGACAATGGCCCTTCTAAGAAGGAGCGAAGTCCCCTGATATCAGGGGATTTGGATCTTTTTAAAGGAAAAAGACCGAGAAATAACGTAATTTAGTTATGAGTTGAGATGAATAATGAGTGTATTCATTTCTCGTCTTGTTTTCAGTTACATGCGGGTAATAACTCTCGAGTTACTCATCCGCCAATCAATCAAAAATGACTGTTTATATTATGAAGTTAATTTCATCGCCGTACAATTTTTTTCCTCTCATTTGCACTGAAAACTCCTTGAAACAGTCTCATAAAGAAGATGAGCAGTATTCGCGGTTTTTATTATTTTCATGTTTACTGATCAAGATAATACACCTAGATTATAATGAAAGTGAGAGTTTTACCGCTTTGTAAATAATCTCAGTGAGGCAGCTGATTTTCTCTTCATGATTGTCACGAGTAGAATATGTCAACCATAAAGCACTAATAACACTCTAGTTGTTTGTCAGTCACGGCGCAACAGATGGTTTCAGGGGGAAACCTACAGTTTTCTATTGATTCGCAAGTGATCGGGGCCGAGTCAGAATCATTACGAGTATTGCACAATTTATATTATCGCACTATTTTGAGAGTTTGAATGCAGAGTGATAGGTCGAGTCTTTGTTTGAATATCGTTCCAACTCCATCAACTGATAGTGTGGCACGGCCTCGAATGCTCGAAACGTCGCCCACCCACACTGCACGGGACTGATGCCGCGAGTTTTCCTCTTTCTTCTGTGCAACCCCCCACCACTGACTGCGTTATGAACCAACTTATTTCGAGTTGAGTTGGGAAAAACTGTACGCAACCGAGTGGCATGGAAAATCCCTACTCGTGGGGAATTTAAGGTTGTCGGGTAGGTAAGTGATCGATAGAGAAAAAATCATCGACAAAATTTATTGAAGGTGGTACAACCGAGCTTTTATAAAAACCTATATAAATTCAGAAATATGTTCAAAAAGATATGCTAACAGCTCTTGAATTTGTTTTTTTTTTATAATTCGCCACCGATGTTTTTTCACTTTTTCTTTTCAGTATAGGGTAAACAGGTCAATTTCTGGACGATTTCAACATGCATTGAATTGAATATTCTATAAATAAAATGAAAATTGTACTGATTATTTCACCTTTCAATAATATTACTCGTGTATAATCATGTGATAAATTGTTTTTTCTATTGATCGACATTTAATAGATGAAAAAAAAACAGCCCAGTCGTCCAGAAATTGAGGGTTTCGGCTGCATTCAACTAATTTATTTAAGTATTCTTTGTTTGTTTATTTTCACTTCAAATAATTTTTTTCTGCTAATTAAAACATTCTTGAAGGTACGGAAGCCATCACATCCCTATTTAGGTGATTCTTTTATTTTAGATCCTACCACGAAACTCGAATTTCCCTTAACGGTCCAGCAATTGGCCTGTTCACCCTATCTAGTACAACGTCATTGTTTTCATTTTGAAAATATGCCAATGAAGGTGAGCTCTATGATTCGCAGGATCTTGCAGTCTTCAAACTGTTTATGTTGTCACTTACATTGAAAATTATGAAATTTCTGGATATGCAGAACGGAGGGAACACTGAAATATGTCAGATATAAATGACTGATGAACATGCAGAAGAGAGTTCTGATTCACGTATGTATAAAACTGGACCACAATTGGAGAAGCTTAACCCTTATTAAGTGGTCGCGTAATGAGGGAATCCCCGCCGGTTTTTGTTGTTTTCTTTTCACACAAAAACATCGTGAATGAAAAATCCATAAAAATTTGTATTCCTACTTTCAAATATGTAGAACACATCAACATCTTATTTTCGGTCCAGACGTACACCAATGAATTATTAAAATCTTCTGAAAATCCCCATGTTTAACCTCAAAATTTCATATTTTTGCACTTTTTCAAATCGAGTTCTTGGATTATCTGACAACTATTTCGTTTCTATACCCTTATTTCCTATTCATTGAAAGTTTAATATTATCTGTGAACGTGGAATAAAATTTTCTTATTCAACTTTTTTTTTCTCTCGAAATCGTAAAATACGCGGGGCGGGGATTCTCCGGGATTCTCTTACCGTGCGACCAACTACGTGCGGTGGAGAGCTCCGACCACTAATAATAATTCTATGGTTAAATCATCATTGAGTAGGTCTCAAAGCGAGGGTAAATTCTGATGTAAGACTCTCGTATTCCAACTTTTTAAATAGGAAACTAACTTCCCGAGATTGCAGCCTGTTGTTGTGAAGTTCTTCCTGAGGAGTGGGTCTCCAACTTCGGAGACCTGGAGCAACGACCAACGAGACAAGGATTTTCAAGTGACCCGGGTTGGAGCTAGGTTCAGCTGGATTAAGCTCAGATAATTCATAATTTAGTCGTCACTACACGCTTGTATATTTCATACCCGAATCTTTTACATTCAATTCTGTACATATGTACATCTTCAATGTAGATATTATTTGAGAAAGAACTGAAGTTCATGAGCCTATGAATTTTGTGTGTTGTCCACGAGCTATAATGGCACCACCTTCTTTCTTTAACATTTCTACCTCGAGGAAGGCCAGGGTTCTTCCAGATTTTATTGTTTTAGCATCTACTGTGATAACTTCTCCTGCCTTAGCAGCTTTTAGGAATCTGTGATATTGAATTCAAGAGCAAAATTCACTATATGCGAGTAAACTTGATGAAAGATGACTTTGCAAAGATGCTTACGAGACATTTAGGTCAACAGAGACTCCAGGTGATATTCCCTTCGTCATTAGAGCATATGTCGATATGCAGTCGATTATTGTGGTTGAACATCCTCCATGTAACGTTCCAGCTGCATTTAGGTGCTCATCACTGACTGTGAACTCTGCTTTGCAGTGGCCATCCCCAGCAGACAAAAATTTCATCTATTTTACAATGTAAATCATCGATTGATGAATATAATTTTTTTTTAATTTTCCATACCAATAAAACGTACCCCTTTTAATACTCACCCCTTTAACACACGCAGCATCGAACGATTTAGCTTTCAGCGATCTTTCAACAAGAACCTTCATTAAATCCAACCCTTTGAGCGTTGACATTTTCACAAATCAGAAAGTTAATCACTAGAGATGTGCCACTTCAACTAAAAATTGCAAACTAACAAAGCAGTTGATGTTGTAGATGCACGGAAAGTAATTAACCTTAAAGTTACGGGCATTAGTTAATCGAGTCGAATGCGTAAATGTGGAATGGGATCAATAAATGCAGTGACATAAAATACAGCAATCATAAATTACGTAATGATAATGCAAACATTGAACAGCCAGAGAATATTCTAAGTTTTAATCAATGATGAGGATGACAATGAGTATTAGTTACGTAAACACGTGACCGGGCATAGCAAACGGAAATCTAAGTTTATATATTTCTTTTATCGCGAAATTCCTTCTCATTATCATTAACTTATCAATAAATTTGACGATTTCTTGTCATGGCAACTTCATTATGGGAAAATTTCATTTAAATTTCAACATTCTTGACAAGCGTTTAAAGCGCTTTTCTGGGCGTGATTTTTTTCTAACTTATCTGGGTGTGTTTGTTCGAAACAAATTTTTTTGTTTCGGATTTTGACGTGTTTCTTGGTGTCTCAAATAACTTGCAACCCCTCATCCCCCCTTGCCTGATAGGATTCAATTGTTTTACCAAATAGTACATTATGCCATTAGGCGATAAAAGTATTATCTGGCGAATGTGGCTTTATAAATCTCGCCTTCGGCTCAGATTATAAAGCCACATTCGCCAGTTTATCGGGCCTAATGACATAAATTTCAATTTCCAAGAAACACGGCAAAAAAGAAAAGCGCTATAAGCAACTTTCGAAATCGAAAAGGAGTTGAGCAAGGAGTGCTTTTTCATTTCTTCACGTATGAACATATCCTATGGAGAATTCAAACATTTCCTATAGGATTTTTCGGATGGGATTTCCTATAGGATCGCCTATCAGGTTTTTTCGATTGAATTTCCTATAGGATATCCTATAAGATTCCCAATAGGATTTTCTATGAAATTTGGGGTCATAAGGGTCATATGGAGGTCATATGGGGTTCATGTAGGGGTCATATGGGAATCATGTGGGAGTCATATGAGAGTCATAAGGGCCATATCGAGGTCATAGAGAGGTCATTGGAGGCTCGTATGTGAGGATCAAATTACCTTCATATGATATCCATAGGACTCCTATATGACCTCAATATTACCCTTAAATGACTCTAATATGACCCTTTATTACCCATACATGACCCTCTCATGATCCCCATATGGCCCTTTTGACCCTCATTGTGAAACTCTCCGCTCACTGAAAATCCCCATGTTTAACCTCAAAATTTCATATTTTTGCACTTTTTCAAATCGAGTTCTTGGATTATCTGACAACTATTTCGCTTCTATACCCTTATTTCCTATTTATTGAAAGTTTAACATTATCTGTGAACGTGGAATAAAATTTTCTTGTTCAACTTTTTTTTTCTCTCGAATCGTAAAATACGCGGGGCGGAGATTCTCTAGGATTCTCTTACCGTGCGACCAACTACGTGCGGTAGAGAGCTGCGACCACTAATAATAATTGTATGGTTAAATCATCATTGAGTAGATCTCAAAGCAAGGGTAAATTCTTATATAAGACTCTCGTATTCCAACTTTTTAAATAGGAAACTAACTTCCCGAGATTGCAGCATGGTTGTTGTGAAGTTCCTCCTGAGGAGTGGGATTCCAACTTCGGAGACCTGGAGCAACGACCAACGAGACAAGGATTTTCAAGTGACCCGGGTTGGAGCTAGGTTCAGCTGGATTAAGCTCAGATAATTCATAATTTAGTCGCCACTACACGCTTGTATATTTCATACCCTATCTTTTACATTCAATTCTGTACATATGTACATCTTCAATGTAGATATTATTTGAGAAAGAACTGAAGTTCATGAGCCTATGAATTTTGTGTGTTGTCCACGAGCTACAATGGCACCACCTTCTTTCTTTAACATTTCTACCTCGAGGAAGGCCAGAGTTCTTCCAGATTTTATTGTTTTAGCATCTACTGTGATCACTTCTCCTGCCATGGCAGCTTTTAGGAATCTGTAATATTGAATTCAAGAGCAAAATTCACTATATGCGAGTAAACTTGGTGAAAGATGACTTTGCAAAGATGCTTACGAGACATTTAGGTCAACAGAGACTCCAGGTGATATTCCCTTCGTCATTAGAGCATATGCCGATATGCAGTCGATTATTGTGGTTGAACATCCTCCATGTAACGTTCCAGCTGCATTTAGATGCTCATCACTAACTGTGAACTCTGCTTTGCAGTGGCCATCCCCAGCAGACAAAAATGTCATCTATTTTACAATGTAAATCATCGATTGATGAATATAATTGTTTTTAATTTTCCATACCAATAAAACTTACCCCTTTTAATACTCACCCCTTTGACACACGCAGCATCGAAAGATTTAGCTTTCACCCATCTTTCAACAAGAGTCTTCATTAAATCCAACCCTTTAAGCGTTGACATTTTCACAAATCAGAAAGTTAATCACTAGAGATGTGCCACTTCAACTAAAAATCACAAACTAACAAAGCAGTTGATGTTGTAGATGCACGGAAAGTAATTAACCTTAAAGTCACGGGCATTAGTTAATCGAGTCGAATGCGTAAATGTGGAATAGGATCAATAAATGCAGTGACATAAAATACAGCAATCATAAACTACGTAATGATAATGCAAACATTGAACATCCAGTGAATATGCTAAGTTTTAATCAATGATGAGGATGACAATGAGTATTAGTTATATAAACACGTGACCGGGCATAGCAAACGGAAATTTAAGTTTATATATTTCTTTTATCACGAAATTCATTCTCATTATCATTAACTTATCAATAAATTTGACGTTTGCTTGTCATGGCAACTTCATTATGGGAAAATTTCATTTAAATTTCAACATTCTTGACAAGCGTTTTAAGCGCTTTTCTGGGCGTGATTTTTTTCTAACTTATCTGGGTGTGTTTGTTCGAAACAAATTTTTTTGTTTCGGATTTTGACGTGTTCTTGGTGTCTCAAATAACTTGCAACCCTTCATCCCCTCTTGTCTGATAGGATTCAATTGTTTTACCAAATAGTAAAATTTAAAAAAATTTTAAAATCCGAGCCGAAGGCGAGGATTATAATCACATTTGTCAGATAATACTTTGATCGCTGTGTGGCATACAATATTTTATGTCATTGGGCCCGAAAACCGCGATCTAATAGAGCGAAGCGAGGTTAGAATCGCGGTGTATCGGGCCCATCGGGCCTGATGACATAAATTTCAATTTCCATGAAACACGGAAAAAAAGAAAAGCGCTATAAGCAACTTTCGAAATCGAAAAGGAGTCGAGCAAGGAGTGCTTTTTCATTTCTTCACGTATGAACAAATCCTATGGAGAATGCGAACATTTCTTATAGGATTTTTCGGATGGGATTTCCTATAGGATTCCCTATCAGGTTTTTTCGATTGGATTTCCTATAGGATATCCTATAAGATTTCCAATAGGATTTTCTATGAAATTTGGGGTCATAAGGGCCATATGAAGGTCATATGGGGTTCATGTAGGGGTCATATGGGGATCATGTGGGAGTCATATGAGAGTCATATAAGGGCCATATCGGGGTCATAGAGAGGTCATTGGAGGCTCGTATATGATGATCAAATTACCTTCATATGATATCCATATGACCCTTTTGACCTTCATTGTGACCTTTATGCCTCTAAATTTTATAGGAAATCCTGTTGAAAATTTCATATCAAATCCTATAAGACATCCTTCAAGAAATACAATAGGAAAACCTGATAAAGAATCGGAAATGAATAGGAAATGTTCGAATTCTCCATAGAATTTCCTATAGGAAATTCCTATCCTATAGAATTTATAGCATATCCTCTAGAATTTTTTCATACGCGTATGGTTTGTTGTTAGGTTCAAATTGTACTTGACAAGTCTGTAAGTGAAAAAAAAAGCTTTATTTTCGGGTGTTCTCAACTACGTCGAGGCAGCTTAAGATTTATTGCTTCTTTTCCGTTTACGTGAGTTTTTCAGTTTATTCTCTCAAAATTGATATTCTTCTTTTATGGAAGTAAAATTATGAAGAGTGGTTCAACAGAGATTTTTAATTTTGCCGCGTCACTTCAGTCGATACAGTAGTTATCTATGTATCAATATCGTAACTACTTATCAGCAGCAATATCTATGACTTTACGTTACATCAGTAAACGGCACACGGAGTGTTTGGTGGTTTTCACTTAAAACAAACTCCTACTATGAATAATACTCCAGAAACCAGTGAAACATAAAAGGAAAACGATAAAAAATCATCAGTTGTACACTCAAGGATGCTAGTTACAGTGGTAAGTCACATTTGCTTCCTATCAAATCACAACTGACATCAGTTGTTTCGGATGTTTCAGTGTGTCAGTTACTGTATTAGAATGTCAATGCAACTGAGATGAAAATAATCTTAGACATTTCTCGATAATAAGATGAGCGTGAAGAAAATGAAAAATTAAATATTTGGGGCTTGTAATAAAAGTGAAGGTGGTGCAATTGGTGTGATAAAAGAGGCGGTATGCTTGAGAATATACCGTCGTCTCGTGGAATGAATGAGGAAGAGTTGTTGAAACGATCCGCTGCTGAGCGGGACAGAATTTTCAGTAATTACGATCGTGGGAGAGAGCCTGGTGCACAGATTGATTCATGGGAGGATCCTGGATATGAGGTTTATCACACAACTGACAGATATGGATTCATTCAGTGAGTACTTCATATATTTATTCATAATTCATTATTTTACCCATCACAGATTTATCAAAATTTGATATTGTTATGAAGAATATTGACTGAAATTAGATTTAGTTTATGAGGAGTGGAGCGACATTTTTTTTCATGTTGAGAGGGTCAGTGGAAACGGCGGGAAATATTTGGCTTTAACGGGATTCTTGGAATGTGCTTTTATAGAGAAATTGGGTTCGACATGGAATTCATGAATAATAATGTGGTTTCTAGACGATTATGGATTTTTTTCACACATTTCTTGAGATTTTACTATGAACCATAACTTGTTAACAAGAGGGATGAATGATTATTGAACATCAAGGAGATAAAATAACAAGCAAACTAATGGATGTATATTGCACATATTTTCCATAAAATCTTCTTTCTTTCTTGTCCTAGTGATAAACGATTACCACGTAAACACGAATCGAACGAAATTAAAATGCACCATATCGAGATGGAGAGACTCAAGAAGTGGGAGAAAATGACGAAACACTGGGACAGCCCAGCGACTAAAGAGAAATTGAGGAGGAGGATTTACAAAGGTATACCTGATAGATTCAGGGGTCAAGTGTGGGCTCTATTGCTTGGTATTCAAACCTTAAAACAAGAGCACCCTGGTAAATATGAAGAGATGCTTAATCTTGCCAGACAGTGGTCGACTGAGATACGACAGATCGATGCTGACGTCGCCAGACAATACAGAGATCATATTGATTATAGGTATGGATGTTATTGTTTTTCTCTTCCCAATACCTTTTATCTGCGCGTCTGTTCAAGTAGAACAATATCCCAATTATCAGGAGAAATTTGATACATATGGTTGTGAAGTGAAAGAGCACGATGATATTTTATATTGTAAATATTTTCAAATAGATTAAGATCTCTCTCGCTGTTTAAGAAATTATCGAAAAAGAACTCTCAAAGAATTCGCTGAATATTCTCTCTTGGAATATTTTATTGTTTAAATAATCGCAACATCATTCTTCAAACTTTTATTATGTTTGTCATTACTTTATTACTGAACTGAATTATCCAAAGAAATTCAATTGAGTAGGAGAGTTTATTCATTAATTTTTCGTATATTGAAGAATTAATGACTAAAACTATTTTTCATCACGCTGTGACGAAAAGTGAACTTTTCGGCACGCTCCGCGTGCCTAAAAGTCCAATTTTCGCCACATTGTGATGAAAAATATTGTTCGTAACTCGTGAAAAAATGTTTTTTAGCTCGTGGGATTATATCACTCGCCTTCGGCTCGTGATATAAGCCTCCCACTCGCCAAAAAACACGTTTTTGCACTCGTTACGAAATATACTATTTCTGGTTGAATATTCATATACTTATGAATACATATACTTATGAGACTCAGACTGGAGGTTTAACGGTTTGCATGAATACGTCTTGAAACATACTTTTTTTCAAAGTGATTCATAATATTGGTCATTTCCATCATAAACAGGATCACGAATTACCTTGAACAAAAAAGTATTTCCTAGGGGACTATATCTATCAATCTAAACCTTAATTTGATACGTAGTTTCGTGCACCGGAGTATATCGAATAAGTCTAAACACGCTTTAATGAGAAACGCCAATGTTGTTGGTTCAAGATCGGTTCCAGGCTCCCAGACTACCAGCTAATTCAATGAATTAATAAGTATTTTCTTTTTTTTCGTCAGGGAAAGATATAGCATCAAGCAGAGGTCAATGTTCTACGTATTGGCAGCCTACAGCATGTACAATATGGAAGTAGGTTATTGTCAAGGAATGTCAGTATTAGCAGGCCTGCTGTTGCTCTACATGGACGAGGAGGATGCATTTTGGGGCCTCTCTGTGCTCCTTGCAGATAAGAAGTACTGCATGCATGGTTTGGATGATTTTATACTCTGGAATTTGCTAATTATCCACTGGCCGAACCATTTCTAAACCCTTTTGTTTAATAAGGAGATCCAAGTACATTCTATAATTTTTTTATCGACAGAATTCTTTGCAGATCTGCATTCTAGCCGTGAAGTGATTATGCGAGATACTTTACTTATTTTTACATGTTATAGTTCGTCACATGATGATAACATGGCGGGGAGGATGGCCTGGTTGGTCGAAATCAAGTTTACTTGTTAATTCAAAAAGTCAACTTTATGAAACTTTTTACCGGTCGAAAAAACAACTTGAAAACATTACTTTTTAGGGAGTAGTATGTCTTTGAAACCAAGTGAAATAAGTTTATTTTCATTGGAACCTTTTTCATAGATATATAGGAAACGGAGAAATGCATTCATTCCTGTACACGAATTCTGTTTTCAATTTCTCTATTGTTTCTATATTTGTATTATACATTTTCTCAATCTGAGGGATCCTACGTTCTAATTGATAATTCTCGGATTTCTGCAATTTGACAATTTTTTCAAATTGTTCATAGCTGACAGTCATTTTTATTTTTATTAGTCGTTTTTTTTTTATCTAATTCCATTGGTAGTAATATTACCATGAAGATATTTTGGTACTATATTGGTAGTAATGTTATCGAGAATATTTTTTTTCTTCTCAACCATGATCGATAGACGACTTTTATCACCACCAGAGTAAACTAGAAAAGTTATTTGAGGCATTCAAAAAATTTCAGCAAAATATTTGCACTTTTAGGGTATATTTTCTATGAAGTAATATTTTTAAATTTCTATGCGATAAGATGGGCATCACCGTGACAAATATTTTGAAAAAGAGAAATAAATAAAATTGTTTAAGTGGTTCCAGCGATATTTGCAAACAAAAATTTTTGGGAAATGGCCATATCTCAGTAATCACTCAACTAATCAGGCTGAGCTTTAGCGCAGATTAGTATCTCATTTGTATCAATTAAGAATCAGAATTTCGGCGTTTTTGTAATAGCGGTTCTAGAGTTTTTGATCCAGTTTTGGACATCCGCGCACAGATGCACACATAGTGACACTCTTTAAAAACGTCGTTTCGTTCTTTCATGATATCCGGAATCCATTCCAAGTAAAATAAAAGAATCGAAAGAATCACATTTACAAACTTCCATTCGGAAAGAAAAACTTAAATTTTGGATAAAAATCTTAAAGTAACCATTTTCACTCACATATCATTCACCTGCAGTGAATATCCGCTTAAGTAAAGTATTTTTCAATGCTGTGTTTAAATTACACAGTTTAATACATGATGGACATCGAGAGAGTTGGATTGTTCAATGTATAACCCAATGCTTTCTTGGAGTGTAATATGAGAGCACGAATAAATTTTAAAATTAGAAAATCAACTTGGATTTCCTCCACTTCTGGTTTGTTTTCATTTTTATTTCGAATTTTGATACCTAACGAATTATTACTGCTTTAATGTGCATTTCATATCAAAGTACCAGTAATAACTAATCTATGAACACCCACTTGTTATAGGCTTTTATATCGATGGATTTCCAAAGTTAAATCGTTTCATCGAACATCACGACAAAATAATGACAAAATTCCTTCCAAAATTGAAGCGAAAACTGGACAAGTGTGGCTGTGACTCAATCCTGTATGCACTCAAGTGGTTTTTTGTTGTTTTCCAAGAGAGAACACCAGTGAGTCTTGGCCTGAGAATTTGGGATGTATTCCTGCTGGACGGGGACCGTATTTTATCTGCAATGGCGTACACAATAATGAAATTGCACAAACGTTATTTGCTACCATTGGAGGGGCTCGACGAATTTTGCAATTATCTTCAGATTAAATTGGAGAAAGACTTTCGGTATGATGATGATACTGTCATTAGTGCTATGGAAAGGAATCAGGAAGAGCTCAAACGTGCTAAGTTGGATTATCCTGGAGGACCATTGACTCAAGAATTACCACGATTCCCATTTGGAACATTCAAAGAGCCTTCTTTTACCAGCAAAGTAAGTTTTCTATTGAGCAATTTTTCTATATTGAATTTATAAATGTCAATTTATTGTATGTAATTTGATAGATATAGTTTGATCAAAATTTCTCAACTCGGGTCTGAGTTTAGTAGATTTTATGGCAAAAATTAGCGTGACCCTCTAAGAGAGGTTACAGTGATCCGTTTTATTTTTCATTCCGGATCTCAAAAATGTAAGTGTTAAAGTGCTTAAAAATGATATACAACGGTTATTAACCATTTATTTTAGTAATGAAAATGTTAAATATGAGACAAATACAATTTCCAAGGCGAAAATATGGGTTGTAATAATTCACACAGCCAAACAGAGACCAGTCTCCGTAATTTTACGTGAAAATATCAGTCTGAAATTTTTAATTGAAACTCATTGTCAATAACTTTTGTTTTCTGTTACAAATAGGATGTTAATTTCTATTAATGATGGCCGGGGTTGGGTGATGTTTGAAATTATTAAACTCGCGTTGTTTTTTCTGATTGAATTTAATATAATGTGAGGATATTTACACTATTTACAATAGTTGAGTTTCCGTTATTTTGTTGAGCTTCGATTATTTAGTGAACTGTATGTTTATTTCAGATGATAACGTTCGGTAATAGTTGTTGAATTCCGTGCTGACTTTCTGCGTGATTTTGATGATAACGAACGACGTGGGTTGTTACGAGTACGGTTTATTACTGACTTTTCAGATTTGATAGCGTTCGCCAGTCGGCCCCTCGGTCAAGTTCGGAATTCCGGAATTTTCACGATCTTGAATGACCGACCATATTTGTTAGTTTTGGCTAATTCGAATCGATTCTTATAGAAATGTGGGTCGGATTTCTAACATATTCATTCATCTAAAAACAGGCGGAGTGTATCTAGAACGTATGTGGGCACGATATTGTTTTTTTTTACTAAACTACTTGCTAAAACGAAAAATAAACCACCAGTAAAACCAAGGTACAGGAAATCGCAATTGAAAAAGGCTAAAGAAATGAAAAATGGAATGATTAACGAAACTCTAAGTAGAAACGACGTCTAGAATGCAGCATCCATGCCACGACACCTTGATGAATAATTTTATTCATTAATTGTTGTGTCAGAATCCTAGTCATTATTCGTAAGAAATGCATTTATTGATTGTTATGATTGTGAATTTTGTCATAATTGAATAAGCATGTGGTGTTTTCATGATTTTCTTATAATTGAACATGATTCAACCATCCTGTGGCATTAATAGGGACATGAGAGCCTCGACTTTAATCATTAATTAAAATGAATTTTTCCACAATTGAAAACAAAATGCGTGTGGAATTTTTATGAAAGATTCTGAACTTTGTCTCTAAATCAACCAAGCTCCACTTAGCACCGAAAATATATCCAATCGAGGTACAACAGGGAACGTTGACGGTATAATTCACTATGTATATTGTATAATTGGAACGTGGAGATTACAATTTTTACAGACAGGGTCTAAAGAATGAATTGGTGCCATTGTGTGTAGTAGTACCATTTGGTCAAGAAAATACTGGTGTTGAACTATTTTCTTGAATCTCTATCATCCTCTATCGTCCAGAAAAATTGGAATAATAGAAATTCTTTACAGGTTGGACGAAGAGCGGAAGAATTTTCCGAGGCTCAACTAGTCCTTCGAGAGTCAGTGGCCCAACGGAGAGAGCTAGCAGTGACCGAGGAAACCCGCAACAGTCCAATTCCCAGTGGTAGTGATTTGGGGGGCAGCAAATTCTCTTTCGATCCAAGTATCGATGATGGCACTTCCCCCCATGGTTCTCGTCGTTCCCTAGCCGACACTTCTGTCACTTCAACAGCAGATTTATCAGTGTTTAGTTCAGCGACACGATCGCAAGTCCTCGACAATAGTTTGGATACTCAGAGCAATATATCTGTTGGTTCATCAGGCAGTGGGGGCCTTCCAACTCCTCGTGCTACACCTCACCAGCCCTCACCTGATGTGGTCAGGATCTACGTACCTTATTCACCGCTATCGCCAAATTCATTCAAGGAGGACCTGCAGAGAACCCTTCCACGTTCACTCGAAACTAACAAAATAAGGATTAAAATTGATCCCGATGAAACTCCAATTGTAGATCTCAAACCGTTCTCTCTCGATAATCCAGATGTTGAACTCGATCTGAAATAATTATTACCCTTATTTCATTGAGTTTCTGCAACCAAGTGGTAGAGAATAGTATTCCTATAATAGAAGACATGATTTTGGGGATATTTCTCAAACTAGTGAATTTAGAATAAAATGTCAAGAGATCCGTTTTGTACAGAAAGGAATTTCCCATAAAAAGTTTCTCTTGTCAAAGACTGAAAGAACTATTTCTGTTTCTATTGTATTGAAAAAAATAAGAAATGAGAGAGTAGAGTGAATTTTGTGTGAGATATTTTCAACATTTTGCCTCTCCCGATTCAGTGAAGGGATGAAAAAAGGTTCAATTTAAAACACAACAGTATGATTATAAAATTATCCCATTAGTGGAAGGATACAGAGAAAATTGCAGAAATATTTTCTCGGCGATAAGTTTCCTCCCCTTCATTAACTGTCTCTTGACCTTTCTCCTACAATCACTAGTTTCCCAACAAGGAAAAAGGATAAGCCCAAAAAGTTCATATATTTTCTGACGAATATCTCTGCAACTGAGATGAATGTATCCTTTTCCGGCTCTATCCCTATTTTCTTTTGCTCCCTAGCAGCACCTACATTACGTTGCTGCGAGCTTTTAATTGATTTTGGGACTATTTTGTATTAAGTGCATGGAAATAATTTGTAGTAAAAAAACGTTTACAGTAAATACCATGATTAAACACATCTAGATGAAAATCAGAATATTTTTTACTCAGATGGCAATGGGGCCATTCATATTGAAGGTTTTTGAGAAAATTGCTAAGTGACCATTCTCATAGGTAATTTCATTTTCTACAAAAAAAGCTTTTTTGGTGATTATATCGGGACTTTTCGGTCTCAGAAATATTTTTAAATAAAACTTCAACAAATGTCACTGGTATTGTTTAATATCTTCATTTTTACTTGATTTGGTACTTAGGGAAAGGGATGTGGAATTTTCAGTACGCGGAGACGAAAATCGCTGGTTTAGGTCAATAACATGACCAATTTCAAATACTTTGAAGGAGTTCATTTCTCCAGCTTGACTTTGTCACTAGTTAAATTTTTTGTTCTTGTTTTCTCAAATTTTCCGTAAAAATGATCAAACATGTCTTGAGCACCTTTATTTTATTAAATAATAATCTCGCAAGAGTCACGGAATATTTTTCTCGTGTTATTATTGATTCTTTGAACACTCATCGCTTCGGAGACTTTAAATTTTCACCACTCAACACAGAATCAAACTAGAAACGTTTTAATTGGCTAATACATCGATCATTGAATGAATTAAGGAGATGGAATGAGAATCATTATTTTTAAATCTCTATTGATTAGTATTAATTAATTAATTGATTATAAATTATGAATGTTTCGAATATTCAGATTTTTCCACATTTCATTTTATTTGATTATTGAATTGTGACATGGAAATGAAACTCATTGATATTATTTTTTAATTGTGTATTATGAGACAGAAGATTGTAAAATAATAAACATGCCTATGGAAATTGTTCAATAATTGTAAAGATTAGATCTTGAAATACTTTTCCGTGAATTGCAATTCTTCACAAATAGTAGTGTATAGGATGTGTTTAAATGGCAGTATCTTGACGAAAATAAAGACGAAGTAATTTGAAGACAAAGGGAAAAATAACTTTACAAAACTCAATTGAAGAGTGATATAGTAAGGATTAGAGATAGCGCTCGATATAAATGTGGATAAAATTAATGTAATAAAGTTATAAGTTATTATTCGTGAAAATTACAGAATGTAAGGATTAGAAATGAAATTATTCTTTTTTTCACATGACAATTACGATGATAATTTCGAGTAAAATTCTCTAAGTTGATTTTATTTTTTTAAGTGAATTTTTATTGTAATACAATGCGGCAATGTATTTTTTGAGTGATGAGATTAAAAAAATTGTATTCAAAATTGAAAGAATGAGTTTTTTCTGAAGAAATAGGTAAGAAAAAATTTTTTACTGCAAGGTCTTTTTGTTATTAAGGGGAGACTACTATGAGTTTTAAGGGTATTATGGCGGGGTCCATAGCTGGAAAAAAAGCAGAGTATTCAATGAAAATTGCTGAACCGAATATTCGATCCATTTGAAAGCCGTGTGCAAAATGTCAAAACCCCTACTTAAACAATAATAATGGGAATAATTTTTGAAGTTGCTACTTACCCACGCAGTTGAATGGGGCATCGGTAATTTTTGTGAATTTCCTACGTTATCGATAAATCAATAACGTAGGTAAAGCACTAAAATTACCGATGCCCCATTCAACGGCGTGTATAAGGAGCAAGTTCACAAATTATTCCTATTATTATTGTTTAAGGAGGGGTCTTGACATTTTGCACACGGCTTTCAAATGGATAAAATAATCTGTTCAACAATTTTCATTGAATTCTCTGCTTTTTTTTCAGCTATGGACCCCGCTATAATACCCTTAAAAGTCGCGGGCTCTTGGATTAAGATTTCTCATACATTGAAGTTCGATTATTGGAAACGCTAAATATCAAAACGCCACCTATGAATGGCGGATATTGGGCTGCACACAGACAGTATTCAACCGCATTTGGGCTTGTGTTGGCGTGTATATGGGAACCCTAAAATCGTCCATATTGGTGAAAACGAGCGCCGCCATCGGTAATTAGCGGCCCCAATATATATCCTAGAGAGCACTTTCATGGCGGCCACCGCAAGTGTCATTGTGCACTGCTCATGGGCCTCAGGGTCGGCGCACAATCAAAAAGAACAGGAAATTGAGAACAAACATTAGGAACAAGAAATAAAGAATAAATTTCAAAATTATATAATTCGCGACAGAGATTATAGGGGAGATCAGCAGGGCCAATGTAAAGTTTCAACAGCAAAATTCGTAGCGGTGGCGCATAGACTACGATGGAGCGTACGGAACTGTTGGTATGGTAGGGCCCGAGTCTAAATTTGTCGGTAACCGGAAAGGGGTTCTCAATATGGTAGCTTTCAATACGGTAGCATCCCTATATAAAAGATCCGTGAGGTGAAAAGTGTCATGGCGGAGGTCCATGGGCACTGAACATTCTGATTGGTCGAATGGAATGGCAAGTGTCATGACGGTCCGGGAATTATCCAAATGTCATGTTAGATGGCGCACGCATACTTTTTCAAAGGGAGTCATTAGTTCTCACACAAATTAATAATTATATAAAATGTGTAGCATAATTAAACTATATCATTCCAGTAGAAAATAGTAATAATTTTTATCATTGATATTCAAAAAAATGTTAAAACGCCACAACTGTGATGGTTTACATCAGTGATTGGCGGTAGTAATGCTGAAGATAGGAAACTTCATTGTTCCAATCAGAGATAATAGGGGAGATTGACCCCCAGGTACTTAGCCGGAATAGGTCACTAATTAGAAAAACGACCTCATGTACTCGATTGTACATCGTTAGTACATGATTGTACAGTGATTTTTTTTGTTTGTACACCCACCAATTAATTTAAAAAAATTAATGAAGTTTTGGCATGATTCTAGCCGACAAAAATTTCAAACTGTTCAATCAGCTCAAGTTAGGGGTCTATCTCAAAGGAAATCGTTTGTACATTACGAATTTGATATTATTATCGTTTGTACAATCATCATTTATTAGTTAAAGCTGCGGTAAGTAATCATTGTCAACCCCCCCCTCGCCCAGCAGATCATTGGTAGTTCCTACGTTATCGACATTAATATTTACATACACTCTGGTCCGTTGTTTATATCGTTGTCCATATTATTATTCCATTATTTATCCCAATAAATGAACATTGAATGCTTCGAAGTTACAGTTTATTAAGCATCAATGGGTACATTCGTTTTTTTTTCGAGCACGGAGGAATACTTGTGTGCAGTGTTCTATCACCTTGCATTCTGACAGGTAGAAAGGGTTATGGTTGATTACAATCATTAGCAAAAAATTTACTAATGATTTGCACCAGGAGAAGGTCCGCCGATGTTGGCACATGCCGAGTGATTTCTCTCTTCGAGGGAGAAATTGGCAGTAAGTAAAATTGATTTTATTCCAAATTCAATCATTCATTCTCTTAATTTTTTTACAGTCGATTCCTTGTAAAAATTTCGTATAAATAAATGACATTAAATTTCTCATGCGCAAATTTTATATTTTCATTCAGTTACTTTCATTTGATTGATTCATTTTCCCTTTTGGAAGGCAAAATTCAATTTCACCGTTTATTAAGGGAAACTTGAATAAAACCTCAGACAAAATTCGTTTTTTTTCCAAGACTTGATCAGTAATGGCTGAATACCTTGCTCCCAAAAAATAAAAAAATTCTCTTAGACTCATCTCCCCGGCACCCATCTCACTAGGAGATTTTTCCACCGGAAGGACCTTCTAATGAACATCATGATTCTTTCATTTTTATGAATCTTTCAGATCAGATTAAAGTCAGAAGACCGACGAAGATGATTCATAAACATGCCCAATTCTTCGCAGTCAGGCCGGAGATGTTGAAGTCTGGGTGGCTGAAAGATATTCCGGAGCACTTGCTGGGATTTGAGAAGCAGCTTGGAAGGCTGGAGATGTTCTTGTCCGCAAAAATACCATCTTGGAGGGCTCATCAGTCTTGACTGATGCTGTGGTCGATCCCAGGATGTTCCTCGTGCAAACCGATGAGTCCGAGGGACCGTCCTTTGGGACGATTTTTGGAGTTGTGGGGGCTCAGGGAAATTCATGTGGGGCTGTGGCTGGGGCTGGTGCTGAGTGAGGAGGGCAACTTGGCAGTCATCACGCAGGCGTTGAAGTGCTCAGCTGCTGTTGTCCAGGTGACACCGTATGGGAGGATGAAGGGGGAACTCGCTGGGAAGCTGAGGAGGCACTGCAGGTAGGTCATGGCCTGGAAAAACTCAATTAACTTTTTTTTTCTAGTAATTTTGAGGTTTTTTTTACAATTCTCCATGGAATTACGATTTTCATATACTTTCTACTCCACAAGGATCCAACAGACCGAGTAGTCGCCCTCTCCGTCTTCGAGGCCTCCGCCAATGTCGAGAATATGACTCCAGACGTTCTGGACATCCTCTTCAGAAAGTCTGACGATACAAACCTCTCGAAACGCCCCCATCACAAACCCCAAGCGATGGAGAAAACAATGAAGAGGTCAACTGCTTCGGTCTAGAGTCCTCTCTGAATGATCATGATAAATTTTCTGTAATTTATTTGAATTTATATTGATTACGAACTTCTCCAAGATTCTCTCTTGTACGTCTCAGTATTTATTCCGTTGACTTGAATTCAAACCTGATTTAAATATATCTTGGAATTCAGACGATTAAAAATAACAATATACAATTATTCCATCAGATTATCTGGACTCGTCGCATATGATCAGAAGTACGATCACTTCGTAGCCTATTGTCGTCGTCGTACTGGCAAATGGGAATGCCATAATGGACTACTCAGCAAAGTGCAACCTGTCAGAGGAAATCCAACAATTCGACCTGAATGCGCACTGTTTTTGATCAATCCAGATGAATTGTAGTCTTCAGTCGTAATAATCAAGAAATTATTAGGAGGAATGAAAAAAAAAATCACTTTTTTCTGTATGATTACGAAAATGTATTTTAGCACATCAAGTAATTGAAAACTAATTTCTATTTGAAACTGTTATCTGTGAACAAATTCACATAGTTATAGACAAACTAGATTTAGTTATTGAAGCAGAGGCGTGTATGCAATCATTACGTGGTATAATTAGAGTGCAAATGTACAGTGTACGTGTTATACGTAAGAATAACATTTTTTATAACAATTATTGTCCGGTAGGATTATTTCTAATACGTGTACACAATCTTCCTAATGAATGACATCTATGATAATTATTCTTTTCAATTAATCAATGTTTTTTTCATGACTCATTTTAAAAAATGTTGCAGAGCTTTGGAGTAATAGTTCATGGAGTTTATTGCAAGATAAATTGATGATCGGGTTCACTTTACCTTAAGAATAATTGAAATATTAAAAACACATGGAATTTTCAATTCAATGTCAAAGATAGAAGCAAAGCATCAGTTCTAATAAACACTTTATTTCTCTCATATTTTGTGAAAAAAAAATGATAAAAGTAGAAATGTATTGTATCTCTCTAACAAATGACATAATTTTTGAGATTTGGAGAAGTTTCTCTCATCCAGGGCGCCTAGTTTCCCTTGTGATACCTCTCATTTAAGCCAGAAATTCGTTTATCCTGAAATTAAAAAAATATATTTTATAAAAAAAAATTATTATTCATTATCAATAATAAAAATGATAAAATTTCAGAATAGTTTGTGTAATGATTTTATTTCAAATATTCATTATTTCTTCTCATTTTTTTATTGATTATTTCTTGACACAGCGAAGGGGTCGTTGAAAGTTATGGTTTTTGAGCTTTTTTATGGCAAATATAATGCTACTGGGATTACTTACTCGAATATCTCGTTCAGGCATGGTTTTAGTGAAAAATATGAAACTATCTTTCTTCTTGAAAATTGAATTTGCTGAAGAATATGTAGAGTGAAATTTTCCGCTGAAGTCAACAGTTAACGAGATATTGGCAAAATTAGTTGTTGAAAATTGTTTTTTTTTTATTTTATTGAAATTTTATTTTGATTTTCTTTCTATCAGGAACTCCTTGATGAAGAGTATTAGATGAAACTTGAAGAGAATTCTCCCTCGAGGCAGTTTATCAGAGCCCCCAGAAGTTTGAACGGCTGCAGTCTCGCTGGTGCGTGAATTTTTTTATCTGAGATGTTATTCAGAGAGATCTGGATTAGAAATGGGGAGTCCTCCGTATCTCTACGAGGTCCAGTCGACTCTCTCAGACATTCTGGCACATCAGAATCATTCAGCGAGGACTCTCGATCGGAGCAGTCGACCTCTTCGTTGTTTTCCCCATAGCTTGGAGCCTGTGATGGAGGGGATTGGGGGCTTTGCAGGCGTTTCGAGAGTTTCATATCGCCAGACTTGCTGAAGAGGATCTCCAGGATCTCTGGAGTCATATTCTCGACATTGGCGAAGGCCTCGAAGACGGAGAGGGCGACTACTCGGTCTGTTGGATCCTTGTGGAGGAGAAAGTATATGAAAATCGGAATTCCATGGAGAATTGTAAAAAAAAACCTCAAAATTACTAGAAAAAAAAAGTCAATTGAGTTTTTCCAGGCCATGACCCACCTGCAGTGCCTCCCCAGCTTCCCAGCGAGTCCCCCCTTTATCCTCCCATACGGTGTCACCTGGACAACAGCATCTGAGCACTTCAACGCCCACATGAATTTCCCTGAGCCCCCACAACTCCAAAAATCGTCCCAAAGGACGTTCCCTCGTACTCATCGGTTTGCACGAGGAACATCCTGGGATCAACCACAGCATCAGTCAAGACTGATGAGCCCTCCAAGATGGTATTTTTGCGGACAAGAACATCTCCAGCCTTCCAAGCTGCTTCTCAAATCCCAGCAAGTGCTCCGGAATATCTTTCAGCCACCCAGACTTCAACATCTCCGGCCTGACTGCGAAGAATTGGGCATGTTTATGAATCATCTTCGTCGGTCTTCTGACTTTAATCTGATCTGAAAGATTCATAAAAATGAAAGAATCATGATGTTCATTAGAAGGTCCTTCCGGTGGAAAAATCTCCTAGTGAGATGGGTGCCGGGGAGATGAGTCTAAGAGAATTTTTTTATTTTTTGGGAGCAAGGTATTCAGCCATTACTGATCAAGTCTTGGAAAAAAAACGAATTTTGTCTGAGGTTTTATTCAAGTTTCCCTTAATAAACGGTGAAATTGAATTTTGCCTTCCAAAAGGGAAAATGAATCAATCAAATGAAAGTAACTGAATGAAAATATAAAATTTGCGCATGAGAAATTTAATGTCATTTATTTATACGAAATTTTTACAAGGAATCGACTGTAAAAAAAATTAAGAGAATGAATGATTGAATTTGGAATAAAATCAATTTTACTTACTGCCAATTTCTCCCTCGAAGAGAGAAATCACTCGGCATGTGCCAACATCGGCGGACCTTCTCCTGGTGCAAATCATTAGTAAATTTTTTGCTAATGATTGTAATCAACCATAACCCTTTCTACCTGTCAGAATGCAAGGTGATAGAACACTGCACACAAGTATTCCTCCGTGCTCGAAAAAAAAACGAATGTACCCATTGATGCTTAATAAACTGTAACTTCGAAGCATTCAATGTTCATTTATTGGGATAAATAATGGAATAATAATATGGACAACGATATAAACAACGGACCAGAGTGTATGTAAATATTAATGTCGATAACGTAGGAACTACCAATGATCTGCTGGGCGAGGGGGGGGTTGACAATGATTACTTACCGCAGCTTTAACTAATAAATGATGATTGTACAAACGATAATAATATCAAATTCGTAATGTACAAACGATTTCCTTTGAGATAGACCCCTAACTTGAGCTGATTGAACAGTTTGAAATTTTTGTCGGCTAGAATCATGCCAAAACTTCATTAATTTTTTTAAATTAATTGGTGGGTGTACAAACAAAAAAAATCACTGTACAATCATGTACTAACGATGTACAATCGAGTACATGCGGTCGTTTTTCTAATTAGTGACCTATTGCGGCTAAGTACCTGGGGGTGAAATAGGATCTTTCTTACTGCGACTGACCACCGAGGAGAACGAATCAACCACAATTAATTTGACCGGTGTTTCCTTTATAAAAAAAGCATGCATTGGAAACTGCCATGGCGGAGAACATGTAAAAAGTATCATGGCGGCGCATGAAGGACGCATTCTCATGTGAACTTTCATGAGAATGAGCAATGCGGCCGCGACGGCACTGTTCAAGAAAACCCGCGTAAATTACAAATCAGATTCTCTATGTGAAATGAAAAATTGTTCGAATGATGATTGATAATTGGATAACTTGAAAGCCAAGAATGGAATGAAGCAAGTGGGAAATTACGTTTATCATCATATAGTATTGTTATTTTTGCTTATTGTTATATTTGTCACACATGCAGTCAGTCAAAAATATGTTTCGGGTGTTTGGGAAATTGCTTTTTTGTCCATAGTACACATAGTATGGTTATTTTTGCTAATAAATTAGCAATACACTTCCGGATGGTCATTTTGCATATTATTTTCTTCTGTCGTATATAATTCATCGTTTGATAATCCTCTTTTTTTTTCTATTCATAAAAGATACGAAGGGTAAAACTCGAATTGAAAAAAATCGAACGCCGTAAGTCGAACTCAAAATAGCTCCAATGAGGACGAACTTCGGCGGGGACACCGACAGATGGCATTGAAAAAAAACGGGTACTATAAAGGGGAATCTTCATAAATAATTTCGCGAGAATGGGCGCAACTTTTGAAGAGCATTTCTAGCCTGAAATAAGAAACGAGCAAATAATTCGTAAAAATATTTTTTAGTTCTCATTCTCAGTCAATGTACACATTAATGTATTGGTTATGAAAGGAAATATTGTAAATTCACCGAAAAAAGGTCTCATAAACAAAGTTGGAGAATCGCAAATTAAAAATAGTGTGGAAATATCGAATGAAAATTTTGAAAAAAATAGAGAAATTTATGGGTTTTTTCATACTCCAATTTGACAAAATTTTCGAATTTCTGTAAAAGAATAGAGAAAATTAGTAAGTTCTGAAAGAAATTTCCTTCTCCCGGAATTGTGAAAAATTATCGATGGTGAGAGAGTACTTCAAGTTGATGTTAGGAAATCAGAATCCTTATCTTATTTTTGGGAAAAATTCACGTGAATTAAAAAAAGGATTTCTAATCTCAAATAAGGAATACATGAAATACATAGAATCAGTGCATATTTTTTACACACGAAATTGTTTGTTATGACTGGAATAGAAAATCAGGGCATAGGTTTTGCACACGTTTTTGTTTATGATAAATGGAATGAGAAATCAGTGCATATTTTCCACACAGATATATTTATGTAAAATATAAGCAAGACAAAAGAAAAAAAACAACAGTATCCAAATTCAAAATTTATATGTGAAAAAAAATCTGTGATTCATTTCGTAATAGCTGAGAATTAGAATGATCATATTTATGTCATTTGATCTGCATCATTATCATGAATTTATTTTAACTTTTGATTATTTATTTTGTGCTGAATATATGAGGTGTTGATATTAGAATTGTATTGATCATATGACTCACAAATTAAGTGAAATACCGAATGAGCTAATTAGAAAAATTTATAAGTATTGACACCCACTTTTACTAGAGTATCAACAAGCATTGACTTTCAGAAATTTACTCTCTGAATTACGTTCGAGAAAATAATTTTATGATTAAAATATTACTCCGTGATCATAGCAATTAGCAGATGAGTAATTCATTGCAATATGAAGAATTAACAATTAATAAATTGGAACATATCATTTTCGTCATTCGCATTGCTTTTTGCAACGAGAACGATTACGAACAAGACATTAAATTTCTTTGGCATGAAATTAATGTTCAGTGAAATTCCGGAAGCGGAAAAATTCATAAAAATTCAGGAAAAAATACTATTACAATGATCATCAATTTTTCACTTCGAGAGTGAAAAAATGGAAGCTATTAAATTGTTTACATAAAAAATAATCATGGTCGTAGTCTACTTCGGTAAATTGACTTTCTATTTTTCACTTTCAAGATTTTTTAAATGTTCTCTAATAGTTATGAGTAAATAGCAATTAAACTGTTGAAAAAAAATAAATAAAATTTTATGCTCAGTTTAGTAGCAATTTTTAGAGGAGAAACATTGATTTCAGTTTCAGAGGGAAAAGTTATGACATTTCAAATTTCACTGAAAATTCAATAGAAATCAACACTTTTTAATAGCATGAAGATAAAAACTCTCAAGTTACATGAATTTTCAACCGCACAATATTTACATTAAAAAGTTGTATTAAGAATAAAAGGCTGTAACTTAACATTCCATGACAGCAAAGAACAAGAATTAGAATGTTTATGTAATTATTTATATGAATTTTCAATTCACAAAAAATCAAGGAGCAGAAGTCAAATTGTAATTTTAAGTTCGAATTTTGAATTTGAAAAATATTTTAAGAAATTCCAAGTACGGAACGATGATATGAACAACAGATTAATTGAATTGCCGATATTACGGATTAAAAAATTTCATAGCAACGTTGGGGTGGGCTTTAACCAAAGTTTCACCAAACATTGACTTCAAGCAATTTACTCTCTGAATTATGTTTGAGAGAAAGTTGAGAAATGAGTCACAATGAGAAAAAAAATTAATTGCTAATAAGTTGGGATATATTATTTTCTTTAGTAGTATTGCTTTTTGCAATGAGAATGTTTATGAACAATGACCATCATTGCCGCAATTGCGTGATGAAAATGAAAAGACAACCTTTCAGTTTGCCTGAGGTAATAATGCAAAGTCTAAATTGTTGAAGCCAGAAATATGAAAATTTTAGGGCAGGTTCTATTCCTGATGTGAGCATTCATTGAGAGAATATTTTGAAAAATGAAGGGATGTGTTTCTTCATGAAATCCAGTTCTAGGAATTTCAAGAATGTTTGCAGATTCCTTACAAAATCAGAGAACCGTCGGTTTTTTCCGAGCATAAAATAGGGGAGGATGGGGCAAAACGGTCCCCCTTCAATCGTCAATATT